TCTTTCCTTCCCAGTTGTCCCTCTTTTGTGGACAGATGCATAGGCCTCTATAAATAAATGTAGTACTAGATGTGGAAGAAGACTCTAACTATTTATTAAAAAATCCCTTTCCCCTCGCCCTAACTGTCCTGCGTAATCGGTATAGAAAAGATGTATGCACTTACTGTACCTATTTTCAATGTGCTTGGAGGGGTAGGTGGGTGGTACTTCTTCCATATTTCTCTCCTCATTGGGTGCCAAGTGTGAATAACTTAAGAGGCCTTCCCCATGGTGGATTCTTCTTAGCTACGCTGGGTATCTAGGATGAGTCACTCACCTTGCACATAGAGTTCCTTTATCATGCCGTACTCGTCAATGCCCTGGGACATGGCAGGAGGTCGCTTTCAGGGATAACTCAACCTTAAAGTGGTTGTAAAGGCTGAAGATTTTCTACCTTCATGCTTCGTTGGCATGAAGGTAAAAAACCTTCTGTGTGCAGCTCCCCCCCTCAGCCCTCCTAATACTCACCTGAGCCTGATTCCGATCCAGCAATGGATCTTCTGGGTCTCTCTCTCCTCATTAGCTGAGACACATCAGTGGGAGCCATTGGCTCCCTCTGCTGTCATTCACAGGGAGAGGGGGGGGCGGGGGGCTGAGCCACGCATAGATAGACACACGGGACCAAGCAAGCACAAGTGTCATAGGACCAAACAGCTTGCTGTGGGGGCACTCAGTAGGGGGGAGGGGCCAGAAGCATCGACAGGAGACCCGAGAAGAGGAGGCTTGGGACTACTCTGTGTAAAACCATTGCACAGAGCAGGTAAGTATGACATGTTTATTATGTTAATGGAAAAAACCCTTTAAAACCACTTTAAGGTTGACCCCCAAATTAAAGATGGTCATAAACCGTGTACACTTGAACAAATGTCTGAACTCTAGTTAACTCTCTTGATCCCCTTGTCAATGTACTCCAATACTGTCATTTATTGCATTTAGGAGGGACATGTTGACCCTAAACCCTCTCACCTGTCTAGCGTATCTCTGCTACCTCTCTCCCAGTAACGGAATGGAGCCACGTTGTGCACCTAGCTTTGGCTCCATGCATGCACTCACTTAACTCTTCTTATTCTGTACCTAGTGCCCAGGTTGGGGACCTCTGAGAGCTGATCTGTTCCCATTACTATGGGTGATGGACCGCCAGGGGAGATAATGCCAACAACAACTATCACAGGCACATGGTTCACGACAGGCTATGAGTTAGACTACCATTACCCTCGGTAACAACTCGGTCTTCATAGCCCAATGTGTCCTAACTGACCCATACTAGAGACCATGTGTGTGCCGGTTACTTGCGTACACCTCTTTAATGACTTCAGACAGGCAAAGGCAAAGTTTCAAAGCTTTACTGAAAAACCTAATCATAGCAGATGACAATGGTAACACCCTTTCCCTAGACTAATCCCTAACTACAGCGGCTGCCCCAGCATACCAGCACAGGTAGGAGTCCATACTTGGCATAGCCCATGATGGCAGTTTTCCAGCAGTTGATAGCTTCAGGGTGGTCTACAGGTCCCAGCAGTCCCCCTACATTGAGGAAGGTTCCTGAACAGGAGAGAATGACATGGCGACAGGAACAGAACCTAACAGCAGAAACTTCTGAGCAGGAATGTCTCTGTTACATCTTACAGGCTGTCTGTGTCTTCTTCCCCATGCAGCAAACTGTGTCTCCCCTGGACAGAGCCCTGCCCCCTTTTATTAACAGCACAGAGATAGAGGCAGAGCCCAGAAAGGAGCAGGGAACTGGGTTACATCTTTCCCTCCTGACTTAAGCAGCATCTAGCTAACTAGTGACAGGCAACCTGCCTACACACCCTGGTCTGCTCATGTGATCCTGTAGCTCTGTGTAAGGGAGCACTCAACAACAGCTGTGAATTCTAGTATCCAAGACAGCACCCATAGGCTCCCATGGGCCATCCGTTGTTGTCACTCCACCCTCTCCCCCCCTGCAGCAGCTGCTCTCAGACACAGGGGAGCCAGGGCTTCCTGGCAACATTTGGCACTTTTGGGGGGGGGGGGGAGTTTGACAGGTACTTGCTCCCACTTCTAGTTAGATGCACCATGGTAATCTAAGCTGGAAGTTCAGCCACCCTCCTTCCCCCGCAGCCTTCTAGGACACTTCACAGGTCCTAGAAGACCGTGGGCCAGTCAAAAAGCACAGCACTCTTAGCATTGCTCGGTAGGAAACTGGCTTGAAGCCACAGGGCTCCACTGTCGGTTTCCCTTACTGAATGAAGATGCTGGCACCTGCACCCAAAGCCAATTGAAGAATTGGCTCAGGTGAGGACATCGCTGGATCCCTGGAGAAGGTATATGTTCTTATATTAAATGTCAGCTGCTACAGTATTTGTAGCTCCTGACTTTTAATTTTTTGGGGTGAGACTGGAGCTTCGCTTTAATTACCAAAAGGTTTACACTAAACCTTTCATACAAACATTTTTATTATCCTGTTAAGAAGCTAGTATAAAGAAAACATAGTGATGAAAAAAGTATTTTTTGCTTAGGCAATTGTTTTTTTCTTATTAAATCAAAAGGGGCCACATAACTGGGAACGTGAAAGGGGGTGTGTCCTTTGTCTAAACACTTTGTATTAAAGAGTGCCCCTCTTACCCATCTCAGAAAGTTGGGAGGTATGCATACTATACAGTGAAAGCTGCATTATATAAAATAGAAGTTCTTGGGTCAGGTGGCAGAGCACTGGGAATCTGAAAATAATCTGCTGCTAGCCCACTGCAACTCATTCCTAGGTCTCATCTTTTTAAAGTGAAATGTCAAGCAAAAAAACACCAAGAATGTATTCGAGGAATTGAAAAAACATTTTTAAAGTGGAACTCCACCCAAAAGGGGAAGTTCCACTTTTAGTCCTTCCCTCCCTTTTTCAGTATAGCTGGAGTTCAGATTTAATAAAATCGAGTTCTTTGATGCCCACAAAATAATATCTTGCGAGATATTTATGCTGCTAGCAGCGATCCATTCCAGATTTTACTCTATTAAACACAGAAAACTGAATATCCAATACCCGTTAATATTGATTTTCCAGAAGATTGCTAAATATTCAATGTATTATTGAATAGGATGGATTTCTTATTTTCGGACACAACCCACCAAGAGAAATGGCATGAACTGATTAGACAATATTAACCGGCATCGTGTGCATCCAAATTAACGAATGGAATGAAACCTGGATCCTTTCGTTATCCAAATCCGAGTTATCAAACAAATTAGAAAATTTAAATAATTTCTCCATGGGCCCAAACTACTATCACATCATGTAACGTCATCCGTATGAAATGAAAGCATGCGTTGATTTCAATATAATGTTTTTCAGATTCGTTGACATTCGTTACTATGTCCATTCAGAGATTTGTATACATCCAAATCTTTGAAAATGAAATTTACGTCCGAAAAACAAATCAAAATGAAATGCATATCCATTGATGATGATGCTATATATTTCCACACACTATATGGTGTAACTGGTATTATTTTCTATGTGTTCCAAAAAAAAGTATGCTGATGGCTGTGTAAGAATAAAAAATATATTAAACATTTTTTCTCATGTGTTATTTTTCTCTAAAGAAATCTTCAGTGAGAAACAAGTCTATAATCCACTTATGACTCACTAACTAATTAATGGGAAAGCACCATATTAATTTTTGAGCTCTTTATGAAACTAAGGTAACTCTGCCAATAATAAGTTGTTGTGACACCACTTGATGGTTGTTATGGCAAAATACCCATATTGGTGGAATTATTCCTAGGTGTGATTTATTTTAAAGGTTTACCTTAGGAAGCATTTTAATCATCCTTTGTTTCATGTGGGTGTGGTAGTGATGAAACAATAATATTGTATACTGCACTGGGAAAGTGTATCATATATTATTTTTTGGAAATCATTATAACTATATAACATTGATGTAAAAGGGAGAGATACGTGTTTTATTTTGTTATTTGCTGGGTGTGGACCCTTGATCAAGGTCTGAGAATATTGTAGCCGAGATGAATACCAATGTAATTATGGCATATCTTGATCTGACAGGGAAATAATATGGCCTAGAACTATTGAAGAATAACACCATTTACAATAGATTATAATATTTGGGTGAAGTGGGTCAGGGTTTTTCTCCTCTACCAGTTCTCTACGGGTCTCCAGGTCAGCAGCAAAGAGAACATTCAGAATTAAGTTGTAGGTTATTCTTGAAGGATAATGGTCACGTTTTTAAGAAAAATCTGACAGCTAGCGGGGGGTAAGAGGGAGAAGATCCCCCGCTAGCTGTCAAAGGGGGAATCGGCAGGGAGCAGGGGCTAGTGCTTTCATAAAATGTTACACCCTGAATATGGATGTAACGTAAATTGTTATGAAAGATGAACTTATCCTTTAAAAGCTTCGTAGGGGGAACAAATGTGGAATTGTTTTAATAGCAATAATCTCTAGCCACTTGCCCTCCTGAGGATTTACCCCCCCTTTTTGACCAGGTCCATTTTTGCATTACAGCACTGCGTTACTTTAACTGACAATTTTGTGGTGATGCAATGCTGCACCCTAATGAAATTTACTTCCTTTTTTTCCCAGGAATTGAGATTTCTTTCGGTGGTATTTGATCACCTGTGCGGTTTTTATTTTTTGCGCTATAAAAAAAAAAGACCGACAATTTTGAGAAAAAACAATATTTTTGACTTGCTGTTAAACAAAATTTAAAAAAAATGTCTTTCCTAAAAAAAAAAAAATCCCAAAACGTGTAAATTAATTGGTTTACGTGAATGTTATAGAGTTTTCAAATGGCGGTATTATCACTCAATTCTGCAAGTGGTTCTGATTTACTATCGCTGTTCTCTAGCTGGTCTAAAACCGCTTTTTGACCTAAAGGGACGCTTTTTGGACACCATGGACGTTTCTCAGTTTCCAGGCAGAAAGAATGGTAAAAAATCGCAGGCAGGGCACAGGACAAAGTACTAGGGACAAAATGTATGTGAAATGCTTTGATACAGTAATGTTTTACTATGTGATTTTAGTGAATGTCTCTTTTTGTCATTTTCAAATTTTACCGTCGTTCCGTCCCCCGTTCGTCCTGGTGCTCGCAGAGGACGGAACCCAGATGGCAGATGCCGGCATCTGCTGGATTACATTGCCGGGAAACACTGCAGGAGGGACATCGCGGGAGCGAAGGGCAAGGTAAGTGACCGAGGGATCGCGGAGCAGCGCTGCATGGTAAGCCCGAGTGCAGCTCAGGGTTACCGCTTGTGGCACTGAAACTTTACCCCGAGCTACACTCGGGAATACTGCCATGGAGGTTAAACAAAGGGCCAGTTTACTGTCCTTAAGACTTTAGAGGGGCCACACTGTAACCATCAGTAGAAAATGTCCCAGCATCAGTTGGAGTAAACAATGCCCCATCCTTGGTGTCATTGGGAGGAATTGTGCCCCATCATCTCATTTCAATAGAGTGTAATGTATTTCCCAATAACCTTAGCAACATCAGCGCAGAAATTATGGGATACAAGAATGACGTTCCTATGGAGGAATAAATGACATTTTTTATCATCAGCACGTGCACTTCCAAACCTTTTGAATCTCATTTAAAATATAGAAGCAAAATGGTTTATGTGTCAGCCTAAAGATTTTGGTGGAAATATGGCAAATATGACATTATCCACCTTATAAATATGGTGACTAGTTTGGTAAAAAATATCAAAGCATAGATGTTGGCAAATGTGAGTGCATGTTGCTTGATCTGGCCAAGGACCAGAAAGGCACCACAACTATGTGTTCCTAAAAGAATTGGGACAAACCAAATTATTTTAATGAGAAGCCTTAAATGGAAGTTGCAGATTTCTGATTTCTGGAAAGTGTAATAGTATCATGGTGGATACCTCTTTAGCTTCATTGTAATGGACATCATTGTTCCAGAATGGTATGCGGCATGGGATCTGTAGACTGGCAGCTGCCTTCTGAGGTATTCTAGATCAGGACAGGTTCCCTTTAGGGCCTAAGCTACACTTAGTAGATACATGAAGGTTTATGTAGGGAGGTAAAGGGAAGGGCAGAGGAAATTCTGCCAGCACAAGGAATAGACACCCCCAGAATAGGAGAGACCTATAACATGTGGGAAAAAGGAGCTGTTTTAGGGAACTGACTAGTCCTGGAGTAACATTACAAATGAATAGACAATTATTTGTGGAAAAGATAAAATACTGCAAACAAGCATTTTCATATTATTACATTTTCAGTGATTTGTTTCCTGTTTTTTAAGTTGGTGACAGGGTCTCTTTTTTAACTGCCAGCTATATCAGTTTTGCCTGAGGCAATCCCAGGTTTTGGAGCTTTATCATTGTAGATTTGTATATCTTGAAATGTCTTTAATTCTGAATACTAGTTAACATTGCCATAAAATTCCCGCTATTTGGGATTTTAGACCCATTACTCACTGTATATCAATATGTGGTATTTTTAGTTAATTTTAGTAGAAGTTGTAGTGGATTTAAATTTTTTTAAATAAATATTTTCTAATCCAATTAACACAGTATGCCAAGAGGGAACTGTGTGCTGCAGTCCTTCAAAAGCAGCAAACTCTCCCTGGATATTATTTTTAAACTGTTTCATAGTATGTCATTACATCCTCTTCCAGCCTGACCTGTATTAGACTTGCCAGATTATATGTTTAACTGCTTCACAACACCACCACAACTGTTAGACATTCCTTTAAAAAGAATGACTGAGTGTCATTATTTGCATAATTATGAGTAAAACGCCACCTCACACGACATTGCTCAGGTCCGGTAAAAGGATGCTTAGGCTTTGAGAAGTGTGCCTGTAGCAAAGTGCTAATTTACCATTCTCAGATGTAGGTTCAACCTTCTTTAACTCTGTCTCCCACAAGTCCCTGGACTCCTGTACACACCCAGGGAGTATACTTTCCTCAGTTTCCCTGCCTCTGGATCTCAGAGAGGCAATACCTAATGTAGCGTTACACCCCGCAGGAGCCGCTTATATTTTTGCCCAGGTCTCCTCTTGCAAAAAGAGACACAAAGTATTTTCCATAGCCAGATACACACACTTTTTCGCTCGTTGTCTTCATTGGCCAGTCTAGGCGATGTTTGTTTTTTGGAGTTTTATTGAAGAACTGGGGATATGGATGGGGAATTTAGCAGGATACTCCCAAATTAGAACTATTCACAACTGAGTATTCAAATAGCAAGTGCTCAGTACTGATGGGTGTTAACCCAAGATTAAGGTACCCACATCCTAATTATCTATTCAAAACATCTAAAGAACAACAGGGGAAGTAGGATTTTCTTGGTACTGACAAAGACACAGACATTTAAAAGTTCAAACCTCATATTTTTATTATGGAAAGATATAATATTAACCTCCCTAGCTGTATGATTATGTCCATATTTCTGTGCTGAAAGCGGTACATTTTTTTTTGTATGGAAATATGTCGTTTTTTTATTGTAGGCCTGTAATTTTTAGGAATAACTCACTGAAATTTGTCCGAACAAGAGTCTAGTAAACATCCCGGGTATGACAAAATTTGAAACACGAAATCATAACTTATAATATAATAAATAATCATAAAAAATAATAATTTAATAATAATAATACATTTAATTCAATAATATAATCAAACCAAAAACACTGAAATTTGAAATATAGCACCAAGTTCGCACATCACTGAGCTTAGTCGCAAAATCGTTTTCAGTGTCTGATGACGAATTTCCCCACAAATCATTATTACTCAGTTCTGCAAGTGGTTCTGATCTACTATCGCTGTATTCTAGCCGGTCTAAAACCGCTTTTGACATAAAGGGACGCTTTTTGGACGCCATAGACTTTTTTCAGTTTCCAGGCAGAAAGAACAGTAAAAATGCAGGCAGGGCACAGGACAAAGCAGTAGGGACAAAATGTATGTGAAATGCTTTGAAACAGTAATGTTTTACTATGTTATTTTAATATATTAGTGAATGTCGCTTTTTTAAATTTCCCGCCAGTTCCGTCCCCCGTACGTCCCGACGCTCGCAGGGACCAGAACCTGGAAGACGGATGCTGTCATCGGCCGGAGGAGATGGCCGGGGACGCTGTAGGGGACACATCACTGGAGCGCAGGACAAGGTAAGTGATCGAGGGAATCCCAGAGCAACGCTGCAGGGTAATCCCGAGTGTAGCTCGGGGTTACCGCTTTTGGCACTGATAACCCCCGAGCTACACTCGGGGATACCACCAGGGAGGTTAAAATAACATTGCTTGTTTAAAATTCCCTCTGAATTGGCTGTACTACAATCACACACCAGTGGCTGTTATGGCCAATTAATCATATTATGGTTTGGGTAATCTAGTACATATTTTTCCCCCTTCTCTCCTCCATGTCTTTTTTTGAATATTCGCAACTGAGGACATCTAGCCGATTTGTTAGTTGAGAATTATTGAAGTCCTGGCTGAAAGCAGACAGCAGACTTCTCCTTAAATTGTAGTAACAATTAGTTTAGGAGTGAGCAAAGTCCCTTTAGTGGTAGTAGTAGTTGCAAGGCTGAGCTCCTCAGGTGCAGGCCTGCTATGGCAGACTGTGGCAGTCCAAAAGTAATAGAAACCGAGCAAAGTCCTTTGGAGTAGCAACAGTTGGACAAGCTCTTCAGAACACCAGCCAGTGTTCCCTTTTCTCAGACCCATGCTGACTATCAAGCACCAAAGGGGTAGCAAAGCACACAGAGTCCCCAAGATCTCACAGTTTCTGTACTCACAAGGCCAAGGACAGAATGGCAGCCTCCTTCCAATCTTCCTCCAGTGATAGCACCAGCACCAGAGCATCATGAGAAGACCTGACTAAGCCATCACAGCACTCTGTTAAGCGGAGAGCCCAATTAGATTTTCCTAAACATCTCTCTGTTAAGCAGTACTGTTAAGCAATATAGTTCTAAGTGTACAAATCCTAGCACCTATCTAGGAAAGTGCTACAATAATAAGGCAGACATAGCTAGGCAGGTGATCTGCAGGCAGGTAAGTAGTTCTCCACTGTGAAAACTGGCATGTGGGCAGCTGGGCCACACCTTTATAGCATGCAGCTTCTCCAGAAGACCCAGCTACTGTGAGTAGCACCTACCTGCTTGTTACCAGAGTACTCCACATGTTCGTTGTTGGCCACAGGGTGTTACTAGAGCTACCCTTGACTTCACTGAGAGGGATGTTTATTATGAGATGAATTTCAAGTAGCTAATTGTGTTACTGAATTAGTTCTTCTTTGCTAGACTCTCTGTTGTTATAGAGTCTTATCTAGATTATGCAAGCTTTTTTCAACCAGGGTGCCTTGAAGTTTCTTCAGGGGTGTCTTGGCAAAATGCCAAAAAATTGCTCAAAATTGTATACAGGCCAGCAGTTGGATCAAGCCTGCCTTTTAGTTACACAAAGCCATGGGTTTTCATTATGTATCATTACAACCTTCTAGCCACCAGGGTTCTAACAACCAATGACACAATCAGTTGATATGGAGGATGTTGGTTGCCTGCACGGCATCATTTTTTTACCCTCCCCTGCCCCTCTGTCAGTAAAGGGGTCAAATTAGCTGAGTGATAGAGAGATACTTAGGTAGAAGAGAAATATTGGAATATTATTCAGTACCAGTGTGCAAAGGTGTATTTGCTTTGGAAGACTAAATCCCCTCTAACATTGGGTGTCTTACATTTGTGGGTGTTGCTGCATTAGGTAAAACTATTAGAATAGTTTTTTACATTTTAGAATTTTTTATTTTGGATAGCATAATGAACATTTTCCTCCTGAATGCTGGCAGAAGAGAGAGGAGGAGAAGCCGTATTTCAGTGGTTGAAGGAGAAAAATGAAGAGGATTAATTCCTGTATATGCTGGGAAATTCCTTTGTTTGTGATGACTTACTGTCCTGAACCCCTATAAGGCTGCTTTCACAGGGTTATGCTGTGGTTTGCACGCACCACGGGTACAACGCAGTGCACCTGCAGCTTTCCTGCGGGAAGGGTTACATGCGCTTTGCTATATATATCTATTATATCCTGCGGGTTTGGTGCACTTTCTGAAAGCACACCAAAACTCCTGCATTCAGGGGTTTGGGTGCACCTTCAGAAAGTGCACCAAACCTGCAGGATATACAGTAATAGAAGTCTATGGCTCAGTGCACTGTGCTGCACCCATGGATCAGTGTGAAAGCAGCCTAACAGTTGTTAACCCTTTTATAGGTGCTAATATTCCCATTGCAAAATCACAGTGTCATTATTGTTTAATACACTGACCTTTTTATCCTGTTCCAGCTTCTGCTGGCATCGCCCTATACGCTGCTAGAAAGGTACCAGGTGAAGTGTACTTGGTATCACTCTGCCTGGGACAGGAGCCGGTGCTACAGAGGAAGAATTGGCTTATGTGGCTCCTGCTCCTACCGGCTCAATTCACTCTGATGCTCTGAGATGGCATGTTGGCAAGCCCAGATCGCAATCAATGGGTTTCTGACACCGGGAATGCACTTTCCTGGTTTGAGGCCCAGCTATACAGCCACATTATCCTGACTAAGCCACAAAGATATTGTTTTGAAGAGTCAATGTTTGTGCGCAGTGGCGGACTGACAACTCATGGGGCCCCCGGGCAATAGGGGATCATGGGGCCCCTGTGTCCTTGCCCAAACTCAAAAAAGCCTATGAAAAAGGTACCAGGGGCATCTCATGGGGCCCCTTACTGACCCCGGGCCCTCGGGCAGTGCCCGAGTTTCTAAATGGTCAGTCCGCCCCTGTTTGTGCGGCTCTTATATGTGCATGTTATTTGCCATCCTGAACCTGTTTTTCAATATTGTTATTAATTCTGTATCTGTTTAGTAAACTGCACATTAGATACCTCCTGTCTGATCATTCAGACGATTATCTTTTCTGCTAAAAGCCAACTATTCCCATACCATGGAAGTCAGCACATTTACTTTACGCAGGTACATAACAGTTGTATGTGTGCTACTTCACGCTATCGTACCACCCACCACAGTCTGCACTACACTGTGAAAGCAGTACTAAAAGCTAAATGGGACAAAAAAATATAGCAAATGAAAAAAAATGATATATTGTATGCAATTGCTAAAATCCATAGTACAGTTTAATGTTACAAAAAATTACCTTTTCTTTTCAAACTGTTGTACTGTAATTTTCTGTAAATTCTATGCAATATGACTCCTGGAGGCCTTCCATACACATCTGGTATACAAAACGTCCCCAGAAATGCCATTTCCTTCTTGTGTGAAGAACTCTGCACTAAGATACAAGCCAGGTTTTAGACATCCTCTGCAACAAGAATATCATTTTTGGCAAATACTCCCTAAGGCTCGGTTCATACTACTGCGACCTGAAAGTTGCGTGATTTAGCCAGATGACTTCTCGGAGATTTGCTGGCAACTTGAGTACTACTTTGAAGCAACTCATGCCATGTGACTTTGCCTGGGGGCAATGAGAATGTAATGTCCTGTAATGTTGGATCCAAATCACATCAATATAGATGAGGATCTGACTTATAAGTGACTTCCATTAAAGTCTATGGGCATACGTTGGATAGAAGTGGCCTTGAAGTAGTACAGAAACATTTTCTAAAGTCGGAGCAACTTCAGTAGGGCTAATTAAGACTGCTCTCATTAACTAACTTGGGATTTCACATGTCATGCAACTTGGGGTCTCACAAGTCGGATCCCAAATTGTTGTAGTGGTTCCCTGCCAGTGCTCCTGGTTCCTTCTCTTCTTCATCTGCCATCATAGGAAGCCTCTTCTTATGGTGACTCACATGCGGCTTGATCAGCCGCAGTGAGTCTGTAGGCACACACAGCGCGTCTTGACCCCACCTCTCAATCCCTCGACACTGGATTTGATTGACAGCAGCAGCTAATGGCTCCTGCTACTCTCATTGAGTCCAGTGTGGAGGGAGAGAGAGAGCAGTGCCGCTGCTCTTGGGCACAGCGCTAGATTGACATCAGGTTCAAATAAGTATTGGGGGGGGGTGGGGACTGACAATAGAAGGTTTTTCACCTTAATGCAGCGAATGTATTATGGTACAAAAAAACTTCAGTGTTTACATCCACTGTAATCATTTCTAAAGGGGTGCAGACACTGCAACTTTTCTAATCAAAACATAGAAAGTGCACCAGTGGATTAACAGGAATTAGTCACTCCCCTTCAGAACCAGTTTCCAAAAAACATAGTGGAACAAACTTCCATTCTCTGAGCAACCCTACTTATTTGACATACACAATATTGTATCATCTATTACATCATACTGCAGAGCAGCCTTTCTCAACTTTTTCAACACAGAGGAACCCTTGATCTAACTTTCCTGTCTCAGGGAACCCCTGCTAAAAATGACTATATTTATGTAGCGCTACTCCCATTGGGGGTAGCTAGTTGATGCTTGTCCCCTGTTGTTGCTCTGACCTTGCAAGCTTCTCAACCCTTCTCACACAGTGGGGTTTATTTACTAAAGCTGGAGAGTGCAAAATCAGGCTCACTTCTGCATAGAAACCAATCAGCTTCCAGGTTTTATTGCTAAAGCTGAACAAGCTTAGGTTAGAAGCTGATTGGTTTCTACACAGAAGTGAGCCTGATTTTGTACTCTTCAGCTTTAATAAATAAAAATCCTTTAGGTTTAGACATTCTTAAACACAGGATTAATGCTTGCCAAATTAGTGATAAAGAATACTGGCACATAGTCTATTAACCTCCCTGGAGGTATTCCTGAGTGTAGCTCAGGGTAAAGTTTCAGCACCACAATCGGTAACCCCCGAGCTACACTCGGGAATACCCTGCAGGGTTGCTCCAGGATCTCTTCTTCACTTACCTTGTCCTGCGCTCCCGCGATGTCCCTCCTGCAGTGTCCCCGGCAATGTCCTCCGGCCGATGCCGACATCCGTCTTCCGGGTTCCGTTCCCTGCGACGTCAGGACGTATGGGGACGGAACGGTGGGAAATTTAAAGATGTGAAAAAGTGACATTCACTAAATACACTAAAATCACATAGTAAAAATTCCTGTATCAAAGCATTTCACAAACATTTTGCGCCTACTGCTTTGTCCTGTGCCCTGCCTACATTTTTACCGTTCTTTCTGCCTGGAAACTGAGAAACGTCCATGGCATCCAAAAAGCGTCCCTTTAGGTCAAAAGCAGTTTTAGATCAGCTAGAGAACAGCGGTAGTAAATTAGAACCACTTGCAGAATTGAGTGATAATGATTCATGGGGAAATTCGTCATCAGACACTGAAAACGATTTTGCAACT